AAATTTTTTATCAGCATTGTATAGACCATAACATGCGCTAGAGATGTAGGATCTCACCTGTGCTTCTTAAAGTGAAGTAATTGCCATTTGGCTACACCGAACTCCATTTCACACATCAGCTTCTCTCAACTTCAGCTACTCATGGTAAACATAAAGTATTCATCAAATAATTGTTCTTCATTAAGATCACGAAATAGAAGTGGCTTCCCAGGAAGCCCCAGTAGGATTGCTTGGGATTTTAGCCAAGCTAGACAACTCGAACACTCTACTATGGTAGATAAGCGAATCATTAAGTAAGTTGCACATCAGAACACACAATAATGGGTTTGTCGGGAAGTTTCGTACCATCTCTTCAAATCTAGCTGGGACCAGGTATTGTGTTCATGTGGTAGCGTCTATGTGGGGGGGACCTACCGACCCATACATAAGAGGTTATCTGATCTTAAAACAGCCTGCAAAGGAACCCAAACTTTACGAAATAGAACAAAAATATACTAAACCAAGCGAAACGATGGTCGCCTGCAACCCTAGTCGCGGCAATCCTCTTTCGTTTTCCGGATTTTCCTCAAAATTTAAAGCCATGTCACAATATATCACTAATGAATTCTTCGAAACCGAGGCTTACTTCATATCTTTGAAAAGTGTATGGCGATTTGCTTGAAGCTGTGACCGTCGATTTGTACGAATAGGTGGAAACCACTTGTAGGGGAACGCTAATTTCCTCCGATTAAGTAAAGGAAGCTTGGTTAGCCTTGAATTATAATCTGCTGACATGATGTAAGGACTGACAATTTTATGTCATACCTTGAACTCAGCGGAGGGCCTCACGATCCCATCACATTTCACCAACTATTGCCCCCAAATGCTCTCTCCTCAAAGATACAGTAGACTCGATTTCGGATTGGTCATGAGAGAATTAATGTTGGAGCACCTTTAATTTTGTTTGAAGATGCAAGAAGCATCATCCACTGTCACTGACCGTCGATTTGTCTACATTGCTCGACTTTCGCCCCTTATGCCCACACCTCTGCAAAAAGTAGGAGAAAATCTTCAATCTCGTAGTTGGTCGACAACTCTGGATGACATAAATATTTGAGATTCCAGCTCCATTTTAGAGCCTGAGCAATTCCACACATTTAGTTAGTAGACGGATGCTGTTAGAATTGGTGGATAAAATTAATCTTAGTCTATTCATCATACTAATTTACGCCCTTATCAACTACTTTTTTATATGTCTACTGCTCGGCAATCCTTGCACACATTGTCATGAAGCCAGACGTACGAGGCGGAGTGGTTGTCGTGACGAGTGATGATGCTATAATCTAATATTGATGAGTACAAACGATATAAAACCATACTTGTCTTAAGCTCACTGCTCCTTCAAAGATTCAGATGTTGATCTGTGCTTAAGCTAAGAATAAATAATCCACTTCTATAAACATAAATTGCCACAGGTTAATGAAGTTTTGTTCCCCTCCAGCTGGTTTTCTCTGAAGCAACCATACATTCTTTTAGCCCAAAATTGAAGTAGCATTATGCCAAAGTTTGGTCTAACAAATTCTCTAAAAAAGTGTGATGTAAATATGTACCTGTCGGCAAATTTGATTGCCTATTCGCCGAGGCTGGGTGTGTGAATGGCAAAGTACCATTTTGGAAAGCTCCTTCTGACACTTGATGGCAAGCATATTCGTCGGGTGAAGCCTCAGGCCTCAGCAAAGCTGATGACAACGAGCAGTCTGGAAGACGATCGCAACGCATACTTGCGTAGACGCATGTCTGACTAAACTGTGACTGTTGTGTAGACTGGGATTCGTTCAATGTAGATGTCGAATCAAGGGCGTCTGCATGACCGAAACCGCCACCAAACGTTGATAAATGAGCAGATGAGTAAGCAGATTGGCGGGGTTCGGTAATATTGCTGTTCAGTAAAGAAATAGAGGCCTAGGAAATAGGATAGATGAAATGAGAGATATAAGAGTTTGTCAGTTGGAAAGCACGAAAAAATTACAAATTAGTAAAATAGATATGAAGACCAATCTCCTTTCGACCTCAGCTTCACAACTAAGTTCTACTGTCAGGGCGGCCTAGCTGGACGTACCTTGTCCGAAGCCCTCTGTCATCGTAAATCCCAATGTTGAGTTGGTACATTTCCAGACATTTCACCTGCATCGTAGTCGGCGTCGTCAAAGAGGAAAGTGAAGTCAATCCGTTGACCAACTGTCAGTCTTTATCATGCATTGATACATTTATCAATTCCCTGTCCTCGTATCTCATTGTCTCTCTGTCTCAAGTCCTGACTTGCTTTTATGATAGTTCATTATAAATGTGCCCTTTTGGGCAAGTTTAATGTAGTCATTCGCTCGAATTTGATACCAAAGAGAAGATTGTTCCGGAAGAAGCCACATGACGCAATAATCACAACTAAAGACCGAAGATCGGAATACTGACGAGCATGATCATCAGAAATCTACTATTGAGGGGGAGGAAATTTTGGGCTCGATTCGGATGTCTCTCGACACAGGCTATCCGAGAGAAGTGGTACCGAGAAGCATACGGGCCGTGAGAAGGGGATTATGAAAAAAAAAAGAATGGAAACGAAAAAGAAAAGAACAACACTCAAAGAGACGTTTACCCATTCAACTGGAGAGAATAGACAAATCGGATTGCTCGCTTGTTTACTGCATAACATGTAAGGTCTGACAAAGGAAGATTAGCGAAGCCATTGATATATTTTGCGGAAAGAAACTGAATAAACTGGAAATTGGAAAAAAGCAGAATTAGTGATAAGCAAACTATGAACAAGACCGTCAAAAAATGAGACATCTGGATGAATGACTTGTTGTTAGTCATAGGAATAGGGATCGACAATAAGAAGAGGGTGACGAACAATCGTAAGTCAAGAGAAAACATGCTCAGAGAGTGTAGTCTGCTCGAAGAAAGGATGTCACAGAAAAGAGCGGGGCCAACTTGATCAAACGTCCATTCGAGATGCATCCGACGACCCGAGACAGACTACCATAGTTTGCTCAAAGCACACAAGTTGAATCACAGAGATGAGCCGTGGAGACAATGTCTGATATCTACAGACACGGGAGAGAGTCTACAGTACCATAAGAAATGGCGCCCGAAGTAAAGCGTATATTGTCACTGGAGCCGAGTGAAATCAGTCAACCAGAACGATGATAAAAGAATCTTCGAGGTCATTTGCTGACCCGGCAAATCGAGATGAAAGAGGGTCGGTGTGGTAGCGCAACCTTAACTCGCATCTCTAAACGAATCTTATAGAAACAATTCATAAATTGTGATAGAGGAGTGTTGTTGTGCAGAAGGTTGGTCAAGGGATTGGCTCCAGTTGTCTCTTCGACGAGTTGTAGCTTACTCCTAAACGCATTTACGATAAAAAAGAAACGTCTGTAAATGTACCAAGTCTATGGTTCAACACCTTCGGCAGAGTGCTTCAGACAGTATGCGTCCAACTTGGTCACCTTGGCAACACGATCAAGTTGCGACAAAAAGGTCCGGCCAGGTCTATGAATAAAGATTATTTGCAAATAGTTTTCAAGTCAAAATGACAATTGAGTCAATCATTGAAAAGGACGAATTTAGGACCTGATAGAAAAATTGGAGTGGCATTGCAAACTATTGTCTGTCAAAAAGAAACAATATAGACCTAATGAGTTTATCTTCGTAAACCAAATATATTTGACACTAATATTAATATAATAATAGAGATATTTATAGGTTGATAATCTTATTATAATGGCCATTTGTGGGAGGCTCATTTATTTTAAGATAGAATTCGGCAAATCTATAGCAAAGCAGAACTGAGAAGATATATAAAAACTCCATATAAATATGCAACGCTGTATTTGCTGCTCCAGTAACGCAGATCCGTGATCCACATCATTTCGTGTGAAATAAAGGAAGC